TGTTTAATGGTGATTGATGATTTAGAATCTTGTACGAAGTTTTATATAGATTGAATGGCTTATTCCAACGATAAGTTCATTCGGCCTGCTGTCCCCTTATCATTTGCGCGGTTATCTCAATGAATTCAGACGTTGATATTTTGTCATCTGCTTCCAAAATGTCCTGATGACAAGTTGTTCTGTCGCGGCGTATTGATGCATGCGGACCCAGTGGCCTCTTTTCCTCATTGCTGACAAGCAGTTTCTCCCTAGTTAAAGAAATTGCCTCTTTGCACCACAGTATATGGTGTACTTAAGTAGTGATTTCAGCTAGGCTCATCTGATACGCCTCTCGCCTCTTCTGCACGGGCCGTGTCGTCTTACTCATCGCGATGAGACTGTACCACAACGTGGTGCGACTGTTTGTGTACCTCTTCGACCCATTGGGCTATACTACGTGGTCCTCACAGGCCCCTTGGGAGCTACTCCTGCCACCTTAGTCAATGGTTAGAGGTCAGACAAATTCAATCTTCTGATCATCTAGATTGGTGTTTGAAATGGGATGACGTCCATTTCTGTAAAACTAAATTGCTACTTCCCAGCTGCCTTACTGATTGGCTTTTGAGTCAAAGGTTTTAGTTGAGGACCCCAGTTGCCATCTTGTCTAGGTCTGAGCGGCCTGGCAGTATCTCAGTCCACGTAAAATAACTATTTCTTCAAACATTAATCACATCCTGCATTGGCCGTGGCGCAGGTCATCAAGGGTCGCCTTATTTGCTGCATACAGCAAGGCGGATCAGCCAAAACGTACTACTACTGGCTTTTCCGTTCTTTCCTTTCTCTTACTCCCCTCCTCACCCCATTACTAACCTTTATTATATAATTCCCAGCTTCATTGACAGCATTCGTAATGTCACTGGATTCGAACCATCTGCAGCTATCTACCCGCATCACCTACTGGACGCCCATCGACAGCAATTTCTTGTAAAGCCACGCTGTCCGGTTTCCCTGTCGACGTTCAACATTCGCACTCTAAGACGCATAAGCTGACAGGCTGCACTCGCACACACGTTTATTGCGCCTCCGAAACTAGGATCAATGTCCCTCACTACGTCGTTGAATTGACTGCGCTCGACTTGTCCTCTCGTCGTTGGTTGCACACATCGAGAGATGCTGATGCGACAACCACTGATCAAGCTTGGGTGGGCATTGTTCTCAGCTCCAAAGCGGATTCATCGTTGGTTGATTGGATTCCCGTGAGCAGCCGTTTGTATTTAGATCGTGTGACGACATCAACTAAAGTTGATTCACAAACTAGTACAAGACGCTGTTTATTTGTGGTTTCCGCTTACGATGCCACCGACTGAAGTTCTGATGTTGCCAGGGACACGTTCTACCTCGTACTGAGTACGCTACTACGCAATGGTATCAGTTCAGATATCATATTGTGCAGGGGATATGAATACACAAGTAGGTCACCAAGGCTCTTCAGAGGCTCAGTTAAGTGGTAAATATGGACTTAACTCCAACCGTACAGACAACGGCGAACGTCTGTTACAGTTGTATGCGGAGCACCAGTTGTTTCTTAGTAGCACTGCTTTCAGACACACTGGGAGCCGAAGTGCCGCTTGTCGCCATGGACCCAAATAGATCACGTTGCCATAAGCTACAGGTGGTGTGGTTCCATCCTGGATTACCGCTCGTACTGGAGTACCTGCATCGACTCTGATCATGCCTTAGTACGTTGTCGTTTCTCCATGAACTTTACCGGGAGGCGCACCAAGCGTCCCCTCCGATTGGCAACTGAGAAATTGTCTCAGCCCTCGGTCAGGCAAGCCAATCAAGATGCACTGCGCACCGAACTTTCGCTGTCTTGTTCTAATGACACTGAGCTTCAGGGGAATATGATCTCGGCCGCCATACACGACGCAAGAGCATCTGCTTGTGGTATTATCAGTCGTCACCCCACCAGTCACTGAATATCCGAGAGGTCGGAGAACCTGTTGGAATCTAGAAGGAACCTCCCGGCTGGCTCTGAGCACAGTGTGACCAGACGGGCTATTAGGCGCGAACTAAAGCGGGGCCTATGTGCTAACAAGGAAGCCTAGTGGACCAGTAGGGCTCAAGAAATTAAGGAGGCAGGAGCAGTAGGCAATTACCGCAAACTCCCAGCTGATCTGCACTACTGGTCCCAGAAAACTAGGCGTTAATGAGACACCCAGAAACAGCGCGAGTGCCATAGTTCACAATAAGAAGCGCAATATGGCCCGTTGGGCGGAACACTTTCAAGATCAATTCAATTGGCCCTTGCTTCCGAATCTCTTCCAGCTCAGGTGATGTTGGATGAGTCATGGACGGTTAGTTTAGGGGTCCTATGGGAGCGATCACAGTCCTCAATCCTTTTTATGCTGTTGGCCCGGGTTCCCTTCCACCTGCACTATTTGAGGATGGAGGTGAGGTCCTCTGCAAAGCACTGATTTCCCTGTTCTACTATGTCTGGAAGGAAGAACGCGTCCTGGCTAACTGGAGTGAACCGATTATACTGGCAATATACAAGAAGGGCAGTTGCAACGGCCATGCTTATCACAGGGACATTAGGCTAACGCCAGTTGTGACAATTACTGGTCTCAATTTTCGTTCTTTGCCTCACTGTGGAACGGGAATCTCGGATTAGGGAAGAGTAGGCAGATTTCCGTCCAGGACGTGGCTGTATAGACCATATCTTCCCTCTGCGGTAGGTGCTAGAGCAGCACCACGCATACCGCAGACCGACAGTAGCTGTGTTCATGGGCTTCGAGATTACGTTCGATTCCGTCGATCGATGTATTCTGTTCGAAATGCTTACGGGGAAATATATTCCCATTTAGTATATGTACATTTTACCTTATCTGTACTTGAACACGACAACCTGCGTCGGGGTCTACTGTGACTTATCGGATATCTTTCCGAAAACAAGCATTCGCCGTCTTTGTTGTTCAATTTCATCGTCGACTCTATCATGTAGTGTTCCCTTGCGGGGTCTCACGATGTAGGCGTTGAGATGCTGCTTGCTGAAAGGCCATTTGCTCTTGAGTATGCGGACGATATCGTCTTGCTATTGGGGCGGCGTAGTCAGCCCTGAATACCCTCTGTTGTGGTCCCAGTATTTGGTATGCGCTTCGCACCTTCAAACCGCAAAGTATTACTGCAGGACCGACCACCAGCCACTTGATGGCGAGGAAATCGAGGTAGTTGATCAATTCACTTATCTTGGCAGCTGCATCTGTATAGCAGCTGAAGTCAGTTCACGTATTGCAACAGCCAGAACTGTCTTTTTGCATCTACGACATCTTTAGCGAAAGAAAAGGGCTTCCCTCCGTCTGGAATTCCGTGTTTACAATGCCACAGTGAGGCTGTCCTACTCTATGGGTGTGAGACTGCCCCTTCGATCTGAAGTACCCTCAAGTCTCTGATCATCGCTGTCTGCATCCTATTGCTGGCGTTGGGTGTCACCAGTATGTACGCAACGATTATCTGCGTACATGCGTGCTAAGCAGTGTTACTCAAGCTAGTTCCTTGGAACAACAGATAGCACTGAATAAGTATTATTGGCTTGTGCACGTACTACATATGCCCGATAATCGCTTACTGGGGAGGGCGTTTTTTGTCTGCTAGATGTAAGGTGGCGCAAAGCTCGTGGTGGACAGATATCGACTTGGCAGCGAGAAATGAAGTCACTGATGACCAAACTTGGTCAGTCCGTCTCGCCTTCCAAGCTGGAGTCCACGTGACCCGCCTTGTGCTTCATTCGAGACTTTACATGATATGGCTCCCAGTCGACACTAGTGGCGCGTCTGCTGTCCTCTTCTAGTGGGACTACCTGTTTAAAATGTGCTTGTTGCTGACTTATCTACAGCGCTATTGTCTGATTATGACGCCGTGCAGGGGAAAACGCAAGGGAGTTCTCTCGCCCATGCCACCGTAGCTTTGCACGAGAGCTAGCTGTTTGTGACGGTATTTTGTTGTCGCAAATCTAATCCCATTGACCCTGAATGTTTAAGGCATTAAGGTTGTTCGCTAGATCTTCTTTCTCGTCCTCTTATCATCCCTTCCGTAGGTCACTGTGATCGTACGGCAGCAAAGCATCAGTTCAAATGGCTGATGTACTGCTATTGATAATGATGACATTGTCCTGAGTTTGCACCTTATATCTTCACTCACTGATAACCAAGATAAAACTAGTCTTACTCCCTGTGTGCCTGGGAGTTCGAGGCAAACGGTTCACGCCTTGGTTGAATGTTTTCGGTCATCCTCTTCTAGTTTGGGATTTTTGCGATGCACTCTGTGGTTCGGTCTGCACATCAAAGAAGGTGATGCACTCCGGCGTTAACAGCTAGCTTACTGCCGCCCCCTAACCTGTTTGTCAGTGTCTCATGTGTTTGGTGCTGGGTTATCTGTAGGTCCAGGTTTGCTTAGAGCATTAAGGTTTTCAGGTAAGTCCCTCTTCTCTCCCACTTAATATTCTTTACTCCATAGATCATCATGGTTGTATGGCAGCGAAGCATCAGTTCAAGTGACTGATGTACTGCTGTTGTTGATTGATTGGTTGAGATCCAGGTTACTTAACGACACTTATTAGGGAAAGCTTCAAAGAACCACCCGGTAGCCAGTTGTTCACAATGGTGTCACGTTTTCTGCATAGGTACATCTTTACCTTGCAATTTTACTTCTCCTGTTCCATTCTAACTCCGTATTCTACAATATTGAAGACATCCTTATTTTTATACTTTGCAACGATGAATCACCAGTACAAGCTTTCGATGTTCTTCTGTTTATTATGATAGTGCTTTTATTCCATTGCGCCCTTCCACTCCACCACTGTACATAGTTATCTCACAGGATGTTTCCATTTGTTTCGGGGTGCGATTTTCCACTGCAGTCGCACGTTAGCTCACATGTCTGATATCATTTTATATCTCTACTCATTTGTCAGCTTCACCATACGCATTGTGTTCAACTTTTATTCCCCTCTCGTTTTATAGGCAGCGACGTCGTTCATTGGCTCATGCAACACGTCGGAGCTAGTGACGTCTCGGAGGCGATAAATCTTGCCAGTCGGATCGCCTGTATGGGATATATATTTTGCATCGACGACCATACCCTGGTCGTCAAAAACGATAGCCACACCTACTATCGTTTCCAAACTCCATTCCTGTACCCAAGTCGATGCATGGAGGCTGACACGATTGACTACGCGGTATACTTGTCAAAGCGCACGATGCAAAACAAGCAGCGCCTGGAGTTGGCAGGATTCGAAGCAGAGCGCCTAGCAAGTCTCCAACATGTTTACTGTCACAAATGGGAGTTCGTTTACATACAGGTACTTTATGATTCCACTTGTGTTCTCTTTGTTGTTCACACCTGTCTGTTACTTTAACCTCAGTACTTCGGTCAGTTTCGAATATCCCGCTTTCAAGCTATCAATCCGTCGGGTAAATTCCGTTAAACCTTACCATATAAAGGTCCGTCGCCCAGTTGTTTCTCTGGAGGACACTTTCTCCACGGTGATGTGACACACTAGGAATAATGCCCCCGCACATTGGTGAACGGATGTTGGAGAATTCAGACTTCTTAAACTGATCTACTTTTCAGGCCTTCCTCAACACTATGTTGCAGTTTTGGTCTTTCTTGGTGGTGTTCTTTTTCTACAGACTAGCCACCACTTCGTTTCGCTGTTTTACTCACCCTACCATACATTTTAGTCTTTCAAGGTCGCTCTACTGTTATGTATACCAGCAGCTTTTGAGATACAGTGTTATTTCTGTCCGATTTGAACTTAGTTTCCGTCTGTGGGTCTTGTTTTCCTTGGGTTTTAAAGTGGATACTGCTGAACATCGTTGAAAACTGCATACCGAAGCATTCGTTATGATTCACTCGCTCGTTGTGTGTCTCGTTGATCAATCCACCGTATCGTCACGTATAACCGGTAGCTTGCACGAAGCGTTTATATCTACACGTTATTCTTGACTGTTGTGAGTTCTTCCCGCTCGGTTGATTGTCCATTTCAGGCTGAAGCAGAGGCAAAAGTAGATAAGAAGCGGGACAAGCTTGAACGACTTGTTTTGGATTCTCAAGAACGAGCTTATTGGGATGTTCACCGCCCTCCACCAGGTTGTATCAACACAACGGATGTTGATATGCGGAAGCTATGTCGTGCCAAACGTCCAAAGAAGCCGCCAAGCCGTCCTGCCAGTTTCCCCATCCCTAGCGGACCGAGTAAGACTATAATTTTCCAAATATCACGGTCCCCTACCACTCGTTTTACTTCGGACACGTCTCTCATCTGCACATATTAGGCTTATTACGTGACACTGAATTCCTTTGCTCGTGGTATTCTACTCACGTTCGTTTCCCGGAATTGCGTTTTCTCTGCCGTCTTTCCGTCGTTCTGCTCAAAACTCCCGATTATTTAAGATGACCGTTTATGTCATGAGGCTTCTAGCCTATTCAGCCTATTCAGTAAATTGATTCGCTTCCGGTTGCACTGATAACGGCCGCTAGTTCTGTCACTCTCAAATTGTGCTCCTGTCTGTTCCTGTGGTTTTGTGTGTGCATGTTTACAGCAATTTGGCAGCAGGTGGAAGCACGTTGCTTCCCCCATATTGAAGCCAGCTGTAGGTGCTCGTCTGTCTCTCGCATTGAGATGATCACAGCGTTTATCGATGAGCTGTGTACTTCTGATTCCTTTGTTTGTGCCTTGCAGTATTTTCTTAATGCCCATAAAACGATTCATACCAGACAGCTCAGCGGTTAGAGGTCATTTAGCTCAGTTTTCTCATCTGCCTCCCAAGGGGTCGGCAGTCGTACTTCTTTCCAAACTCATGTGTATGGAACTTCACCTGATAGGTTATCTTCCCAGGTTGAGTTACATGGGGCTCGAGGTTAACAAACCAAAACCACCATTTTTAACTTTATTACCATGCATATGAAGTCAGCCACCTTGTAGCGCATTTGAAAACCATTGATCTCTCATCTGCTATTGACCATGACCACAGATGTATCATCTGCCAACAGGAGGTTCATATGACAATTATCCTAGATACGTTTCAGGAGGAGTCCCTGTTTTTTCTTTATATGACCCTAAGTTCGAAGCAAAGCAGGATGAACCCGAATGAAGTCAGACTCGCCTTCATAGCACACACCGAAGATTGCTTTCATCCCAAGTGGAAACATGGGAACATGCGTTTTACTACACCCCTACCAACCCGCTGTAAAGCGGTTCGTAATCAGACCTATGCTAAGATACAATACCTTTCTCGAACCCATAGGGAAGTTAACACAAAGTGCGTGTTAGATGGTAGCTAGAAGGGAGCATGAATGTTTGACAACAATGGTACATCGAGTTCTCAAGCGCACTTGGAAGAACGTTTTAGCATACCAAGCACTGTTGAAATTAGACCAATGCCATCCAACTTTACGCTCTATTTGTTACTGGTTAGCGAATCATCCGACATAGGATGCGGCTTCAAACCTAAGCCAAAGACGTTGCCGAGATCTTACGGACTGACGCTTGACACTCTGTTAATCCACAGTTCGGAGGTTCTGACACAAGTTGCCAACCGAATGCTTTTGCGCGAATTACACCCACGTGTCTCTCGCTCACGCGCATCTCATTTGTGCCCAGAGGTTTAAATTTTGCACACTGAGTACAGCACGGAGCCAGATGGCCGTTGTTTCGGTTGTCCTACACAAGGCAGTACATGAATTTCTACCTGAATTTTCTCCAGTGCAATTCGATTCCCTAGCTCAGTCCACAGCTTGTTTCTTTGACGAAGCAGCGCACATCACTCTGCATTAGGCTCATTTGGTTACCTATGGCGCTTGTGTGGGCTAATCGTCCTGGCGAATTGCACTTTGCAAAAACACACATATGATTAATTTACTGCTGCACATCCCGTCAGCCACACTCTTGATGAACTAGTATCAAGAGTTCTGCTGTGGCTGTCAAAGCTGGAAGGTCTAAAATTGAAAGGATTTATTCGAGTTTCGGTACCCACATGCAGAACTTCGGTAGGGAGTCAACTCTATGTAGTGTCTTTGCTTTTCGCCCTTTAAATGATTCACTAAGCTTAAAGTAGCTGAGGATGATAAGCAAGAACAATGTAGCAATGACAGTGGCTACGAGGGGGCGTCCAAGACATGTGGTCATTCGTCACCCGAGTGGCACAAGTTTGTCAAACTGGCGTGGAGTTACTGACTCATATTCTCTCGTCGTATCATTTAAGTTTGGACATCTCCTTAACTGGCATATGGGCTTACTGATACTCCCTACGTACCTTTTGTTCGGTTCCCATCAGCGACTACAGTCGGAAGTCTAGTGTGATAAAAGTTCTGTGGCTTATCACCATTCCGCTTTGCAGCTCGGATAGTTTGCTGTTGTGTATAGTTTAGCCTATTCATCTGCGCTAACTTGTCAAAAGTACAGTTTAGTCCCGTTTGACAGATCGTCATTGTCTCTTCTGCGAATACCGTGGCTGTGTTGACCACCAAATTCGCGTTTTACGAACCTTTGGTCTACCCACTTGTGCATTTAGGACTCCGGCGAGCACCAAGATGTCTATGCATCGTTTTTTACAACGGAGGTTGGTGCGTTGGCGGTAGAACTCAACTTTAGCTGCTTCCGGGCTACAGTCCGTTAGAGCCTACGCCATTCAGACGGGTTACTCTTGACGGATTTCCATTATGTGACTCAGTCACCAACTTGAGAATGCCTCTCCGACCAAGGCGCAAAACAACTTATAAGCAGCGCCTACCGGCCCATGCCTGAAGATCGCATTGAGCTTTCTAAGCAAACTGCACAGAGACAGCTGTTGACTAAGAACTAGTTAATGAGCGCTGCGTGAGCACTCGCGCTTAACGCAACTCCTTCGCCCGTTGTAGTCAGAGGCTGCATCTGTCCCGTTTCTAGATAAGCCCAAACTGAATGTACGACCTGAATTTAAGGATCGTGAGAGCAGTCGTAGCGTTGTGCTGGAGTCCTGTTAACGGGTTTCGTTTAGGCAGCAGACATCGATGGCTAGAGTTATTCAAGGTGAGTCGAAGAGTAATTTGGAACCCAACCTGTATAAACGTTCTAACATTAAATTTGCCTAGCTTGAGTTTGCTGTCGAAACTGGTTTGCGTGCGATCGGTCTTGTGCAGTTCATTGATGTGGCTAGAAATATCTTTATTTCCAGTGCACTTTTGGAGACTCGAAAATCAAAGGGAGTTGCCAGGGATAGGAGGGTTGAGTAACCGTGGAACGAAGTAGGTAGTTTGCGGTGCGGTTGTGTGAATTTTTGCATAACCGGCCGCCAGTACCTCGACCGAATAGAATCCAGAGGGCGATTACCATGAGTAGTGTACCTACGATACTAAGCCTAAACTAAGTACGTCGTACGAAACTAAACTAGACACTACGCACAGATAGACCTAGACTTAACGCACGGTCTGGGCAGAAGAATAAAACGAATTATCCTGTAACCGTGATTGAATAGGTTTCGCAATCGTAATGCAAGCGGGCAGAAACTGTCCAGCGTGGGGCGGATCGAGTATTTGGGCAGTGTCACAGTAACATAATAATAAGAATGACCTTGAAACCTCAAGGATGTGTCAGTGATGGAGTGTAAGAAATAAATATGCGATATGTTAACCGTTTGTAAAACACAGGAAAGCAGTGTAAATGTGCAAGATAATCAGGGGAAAGAGATACCGTGTCCTCATGTAAGCAATCCAGTTTGGGGATAAATCAAAGTTCCTTTTGGACTTTACAAGTAGGGTGTTGTAAATCCATCATTTCGTGTGCTAAATGGGCATACAGTTTCCTGTGAGACCACACCCGAAGCCTTCGGTCATAATGGCCTGTCCCGGATGGTAGTGGCGCGAATTCAGGAAATCGCACCTATTGGGAGTCGGGGATCGATCGCTTGGTTTATGAGCCTTTCGTTTGGTGGGCTGTCGAAGAGTGGCCAATACTCCCAGCACTTCATTGTCCATTCGTGGGATCACAATGCTCCAACGGGGTAAAGCAAGGAGCAGTCTTTAGTTAGGGGTGAGTTACATCCTCCTCGTCGCAATGTTATTGTGCAGACATTGGTAGCTTTTCATAGAAAGTCCGCTTACCAGTCGAAGATCCACCACTTCCTGGAGTGCTGCCATCGAACCCTGCTAGAACAGATAAATCCTGTACCACTCAGCTGACACAAAGAGCACATAGTTCGGCAAGCCAGTACTGTTTCTAGTACTGTTCTCGTATGTCAATCTACTACCAAGAGCTACTATTATAGTAGTAAATGCAATTAGATAGACCTCTCCCTGATTGCCTTATGCTTTAGCTACACACTTTTTATGGTTGTTCCATCATAGTCTTGCAAGCGGACACCATTCAGCGTCCGCTTTATTCCATTGTAGATAAAACAACGCCGAATTGCGTCGTGTGTTATTTTACCAGCCGACACCTGTTGGGTTCATCGTACGCTGATCACTGGCGCTGAGGTTTTTATAAGTTTAGTGTCCTTTTATTGTCACGCAACTTAAACATGTTTCGGCATCCATCCACATTAGTTTTAAGCGCTCCTGCATTGGATATTCAATACACTCTATTTAGCCTCCCATATCTTGTTCGACAAACGTGTGGGTATCCTGTGCACCAAACTCGTCGAAATTGCTTGCTATCTTTTTGTTTCTGGCCGAGTGGACATCGTTTACTTGTCAAGGATCTTGGGCGGCTGTCCGTGCAGTATTCATTCTCGAATCTGGTGGATATTAATCTGCTGCACTTGTATCTTCTATACTTTTAATTCGTTCAGATGGTGTTACACTGTTTACTTGTCTTGATGGACTTCCATTATGTGACGCGGTCGCCAAATTGAATGCCTCTTTCCGACCAAGAATCAAAACATCCAAAGCAGCCGAAAGTTTACAGGTCAGTTTATTTTCCCGTCGTAGACGAATTATATTACCAGACGCAGCTCGTCGTCGCGCTCCTCATGATATCCGATACCCTATCCTCAGCTATAAATAGATCATCCTCATGTTGTGCAGTCGCCAAGTAAAACAGTCGTAGCGTCATCTGTCCAACTGCCTGTTCCCTACTTTCACGCAGTGCATCCACCTCCATTTTACAACTGGAATGGAGGAAGAACCTGCATTAATGGCACATAGTGAAATGAATGAGAAGACGATAAAACATATACCACTATGCTTTTTTGAGATAACCTTGAAATCCAGGTCACATACTGCGCACCGTTCCTGTAGCGGGATTTGAATCTTGTCACTTACTGTCTCCAAGTACACGTCTTCGTTTAGAAACCCACATCAACTCGAATCTCGTGTTAACATTAATTTCTTTTCTTTCTTTCTCACTCCTATGCACTAAGGTCTGGGGACCGATACTGTGGCATATATGCGTGCGTTGCGTCGGATTCCTAGGTCTTCGCTTGATGAGTTAGCGACGGTGCTCAAATATCAATTATGTCTTCTTCCACGCTAGTACCTTGACACTCCCTGCAGAATTCTCTGTCAGCCATGTGTCATTTTACTATTACAACAGGATTGCTCTCGGGCAGCTGCTTCACCTCCACTTCCGGAAGCATTATCCCTAAATTCACTCCTTAAGCGAGTTCTGATATCAGATCGGTGTCAAAGTTCACACCATTTCGCAGTCAAGTTGGCATTAACTTGGAATCAAGTTCAGCTGCACACTAATCAGATTCCGTAGTTATCCAAAAACCGATTGGTCTGTCCATCAACCAAATTGCTTCGAGCAGTCGATACTCACTCACGCCGGCGTGTAGCCGCTGCCTTGACCAAGCGCCAGTAGAAGAATATCGGATACATATCCATAGCACCGTGTGCGCGCCTCTATGGAACACAGGGTGCAGAGGCGACACACTTCCGCCCGGACTTGCTCGTGTGCATATCCTGTCACCTGGGCGGTGCCCGATTACTTGTCGGTGGGTTAAAATGAAACTGGCTCAATGTATAATACGGAATTTGGGCGTGATCCACAGCACCGTTGCAACAGAGTCTGTTGTTGTAACGAGCCACTGGCTACTTGCATGTTGACACCACCGACAGTCAATTTTCCTAAGCTAAACTCCCAAGTGCTTGTTCCTACTAGCTATCGCGCGCTGGGGATATACGAGGTTCTCGTGACAACTGCATGTGGCGCTTTGAAGCTCGTGGGGTCACAGTTTACTTTGGCCAAACCGCTACATCGCATGTGTGCAGAGGAGGACATAGATATCTTCAGTGATGCGATGACCACGGCGCACGAAGCATCCTGCCCTCATAAAATTGTGTTGAGTGACATACCAACATGTGCACCAAAGTTGAAATGCGGCTGATAATGTGCGTGATCAGATGAGCAGATATTATAACAAATAAGTACGCATAGTAGGATGCTACTGACTGATTTCGATTGGTCACTCAATGCACCGTAGCATTTAGGGGCGTTCCTGCCTGCGTTAGGGACCATCTTGAGAGATCTATGGTTGAACATAATTCCTTGAAGAGGAATTTGTGAACGTTATATATTCATTTGGCTGAGAAAACATATAGAGTTGTAGTGAATCTTTTACTATAGCATCCGATGTTCCACTGACTGACGGCAATTGGCCAATGATGTAGCTGCACACCGGCGTTCGTAGGTATCGGCTGCTTGAAGCAGTTTGGTTAATGGAATCACCAACTTGATTCTCGTATAGACCAACTTGACTGGAAAATGTCAGAGTCCTGGTTACTTACCACTATTTCACTGCTTGTGTATCGAGCATTCAGCTCACAAATATGACCACTACGATACGTTTCACTGGAATGCTAATGTGGTTGCAAACGTAGTTGAAAAGGAAAGCTTATAGCACATTATATTCCTCATTACTCAGAAAAGCCTCTGAATTCTTGATTGTGTCATTTCGAACCTGGCGTCTAGCCACAGATGTGACTAATCTGATGACAGATTCTTGTTCCATCCGTTTGAGTTGTCATGATTATTGTGATCCTTATTGTCGTTTCGATGACCTCTTTCTAGACAGCTGGGACCTGCACACTTGATGCACGAATCAAAGTTGGCAAGTTGAGCTGCTTGAATCTGAAGATCCCATGCACAGATGTGGAGCAGTTCAACTAGTCACCTGTGAATCGAGCATCGCAGCGGTGTGAATTCAACTGCCGTCGATCGAGCTACCATGACAACTTCAAGCGAGAGTAGCAGGTGGTAAGAATTAAATAGACAAGATGCCAAGGCAGAGAACAAACACATCATCGTCCATTAGAAAGGTTGAAGGCGAGTAGCTGCATAACTGACCCATGCAAGTTGGGATATCTCCCACCTGATTTGGTCGACCCCGATGCCCCCACTCCACACATGCAACGGAACAAAACATTCCGTTCAGTATCTCCTTATCGTCGCCTGACAAAGGTGATGCTTCATCCAACTGGATTTAACAACCTCGATGTACGTCGGGTAACCGGTCGGTGAACCTGTTAAGGAGATGATGTGCCACTGTGGGGAGCGCATTTTCAACAAAGGGTCCAGTAGGATGCCACGAAGTTTGTGACGAAACACCGGTTATCGGGCCTTAGCGTTGTTCACTCACTGATCCCATCAGATACACATGATGCGTCGTATGGTCCGATGCCAAACAATAACCAATTTACTAATGTATTTTGTGCTTAGTGAGCATGTACTAAATATTGTACACCCTAACTGATCAATGGACGGTTACTGCGTCATCTGCACAGGTGGACCTAGCTTTTAGTGCCCCCGGACTTATCCCTACATAAGGTAATGCCCCGTTGTTGTTACGGATGTAAACATTTCCTTTGGCCGTTGGTTGATCGTTACAACCCATTGTATGTCCGTCAAGTCTTGCAATAGTTACTTGCATTGTGAAGCCCCGGGGCTTACATCGACGTGCTTGGCGTCTTACGTCAATCCCTTCGGAAGCCGTCACTTCCCAGCTAGATTAGGCCAAGGTTGTTATATTGTTCACGTTCTCAAGTTGGAACTCGAAGTCCAGAGTGAGTTGTCAGGGTAGTCGCTCGTTCTAATTTCGTCCACGGAACTGAATGAAATCGTAATGCACCGGTTATCCTCAGCATTTTGGCATGGTAGCGAACCTCACGTAAACAGTTGCGCTACACGGCGCGATTCGATAGATAGAAGTTAGAATGACGTGAACTACCTCAGGCACAACCCGCGTGATCAATCAAGTCGAAGGTGGTGTTCAGTCTAAGGATAGTCGCCTTAGTTGGGTATCTGTTGTCTGACGTTGGCTGATGCGCACTGCCGGATCCTATCTAATGCTTCTTTTTATTGATTCGACCCTCGATGGTCCACAGCAGTAGGATAGTTACAAGCACGTGGGAGCCAGTACCCATAGTGGCAGTGCATCGGCCATATTCCTATGACACTTACATTAATAGTTAATTAAAGTTTATATTTCCCGACAAGTGGTACACATGAAGTCTTGATAGTTTTAGCTCCTCCGTAGTTTTCTTTCCCGCTTTTACTGCCCCTCGCTCGCCAGCGTTGGTTCCAGTGAATTGGAGGTGCGCGAAGTCTGAGAATATTTCGTTGATTAAGTGTTTTTGGAACTTCGCGCTCTCAAAGCACATTGTATCCATCTCCTGTTTAACAGAACTTCACTGACAATGGGTTCCAACACTCGAACCCATCGGCCGTTTTCACAAATGCTGCGTTCCTCAGGTTTTCTGATGTGATGAACTAGAGTCCTCCAGCTTTTGCCTCGAAGCTCGCACTATTTGTGTACAGTCGAATTGACACCATTCGCAGCCTGGTCATAACAAACCACAGTGATGACAATCCAAATATTATTTGTCAACTTTACGCCGTTACGGCGCTCCGCTGCTGCGTGACCACCACCAGTCGCGCGTGGGCTGACTATACCGCGAGGACGCCCGCCCCTACGCGGATTCGAACCGGTGACATTATGATTGCAAGCCAGGCGTGCAAACCACTTGGCCACCGGCCCGTAGCCTAAAGGCTACGGCACGGGTTTGAGCCGACGTATGGGGCAAGGCAACCCTCGCAGTATCCTTAGCCCACGTGCGACCGGTGGTGGTTGCGCGGTAGTGAAACGTCGGTACTGCCTCCGACGTACTGCTGATGTTTTTCAAACCTCAGTGAATGATGTCGGTTGCTTCGTTCACTCAATTCCGAGTAGGTTTAATTGGTACAGTGAATCACGTAACAGTAAGCTTGCGGAATGGTTCTTCGAGATCTTATGCTCAATTTTTAACCTATGGCCCTAAGGGTCATTTTCGCATATTCCTCGGCGATCACGATTGATCCTGATACGCCTGATCAGACGAAGCTTGTAATCCTCTCCGTTCCGCATCGATGTAATTATAACCGGCGTTTCATTTTTTCAATACTTTGCCAGTGACGTCTGACGTTCCAACTTCAATACGTATTACTGCTTCGTCACCAATTGAGCAAGCTTGAAAATGGGCTCTTCACTGAGATATGGAAATATGCGCATGTGCAGGTAGACATGCATAAAGCAAGCAAGTGCTCAAACTTGACCTAGCCATGCACCAACTGTCGCTAGCAGTAACACTCTCAACCGGAAGTCACTGCGACATGTTGTCGGATAGGCGCCGGATACATGTTCCAGTTACTCATGCTTAAAGGTTTTACTCCTAACATAATGTTTTAATTCAGTAATAATGGTTAAAGACAACCACAATTAAAAAGTTGATCGTCAACCCTAAAAAGCTTTCCGTATGTTGTATTACCTCCGCTAAGCGGCCAACTTAGGCATTGTTGTTTCCATTATATGGATAAGGGATTGGAGTTACTAATAGCATTCCTCATTGGGGCTTGCGATATGCTTTCCTTAGGAGCACCTACTAAAACAACAAAACTGTAGCATATTCCCAGCCGTTTCTGTCACCATT